CGCGCGCAGACACAAACACTCACACACACACACACACACACACACACACACACACACACACACACAACGCCACGCACACACACACACACACACACACACACAACACACACACACACACACACACCACACACACACACACCCTACTCACGAGTGTTCATGACCGCCAAGTAGCTATCTCCACGCTCGCGTGTAGTGTGCTCACATCATTGCTGTGTCGACTTGCCCATGGAAACAGTGTTACGGTGTTAGTAGTGAGTGCTGCATACCAAACACCAATATAGTGACCTGCTGTCTGTGCGCAACTTCAGCACCATGCAGGAAGGACACTGCTTGAATTCTAAGCGGTTACATAACTCATTGACATTCGCGCAGAAACATAAGGAGAGTAGTAGGTCAGGTGTCGCGCGTTTGCGTCTATAACTAAACGATTTGCCAAGACAATAAACTGGGGAAAAACTATGACCCCGTGTACCTACGTCTGAGGCATAGTGACGAAAGGAAGCTAAACAAAATCGCCGAAGCCCAAGTGCCATCATAAATCTCGCCCATACGTCGTAAACAACGTCGTTTACTTATAATCTATTAACTACAAATACACTAACATAAACAGGGAAGATATGTGACAAGCTCAATAATTATTGTATTAATTTCGATCTGGTACCTAGTTTGCGGTTGGTACCTAGTTTGCCGATTCTTTTTATCTCACGCCCCCTCTTTCTTATACCAGTTGTGTTTAACAGCCCTCATCAAACACAGTCATCACGCGATGAGTGAAATACCCAGTAAGAAATAAGACTCTCGGCGTCTATCTCTCTCTCTCTCTCTCTCTCTCTCTCTATATATATATATATAAACTTGTCACATAATTTTCTCGCGTTATAGTGTACTGTGAAACTGTGAAAGCGAGCGAGTGTGCGCGTATGATTCGTGCTAATCTATAGTCCACAGAGGAAGAAGCAGCGAGGAGTCGATAAGACAGCTAGACTTTACAGGAAGCGACGGCCAATCCAAGTGTCCGTAAGCTTTCACGCGCTACGCGTAAACGCATGCGTATTATAATAAATTAATCTTAAACTTTCGCTTGTAGTGCAGTTTGTGATGCATTTTTGTATGTTCTCTTGCCCCGATTTTCATTAACGTGTGGTCTTTGTTGGTGATATTATGCTATTTGTAAATTTTAACTTCTCCTACTGGTGCATCGAGGTGGCAATCTAACGTTGCCTGTACAGAAACGAGCCTGCTACTGCTTTGACTACTGCTACTGCTACTGCTACAGAACGCTACTGCTTAACAAGCGTATTAGTTGTCGACTCAGCGAACAGATAATATACCTGTTTGAACGCGACTAACCGATTCCGTTATGTCCATGAGATGTGTTCATGCTTGCGTGCCTGTGTCGTCGTTGCGGCGCAATACTCGCCGTTTACGAGAGAGAGGTGAGTTTTGAGTTAACGCGGTAAGTATACATGCCGCGCTGGTAGAATGAAGAAGACTAGAACGCAGTAGTTTTCAAAGGTTTAAATGAAAGCTATTATTATCAATCTATGGGCCTTTTTCAAATATAAATGGCCTTGTGCGGTTGTAAAAGAATGTGAATACTTAAAATAAAGTTACAGTGTTAGTGTTATAATTTGCATTCTTTTTTTAAAACTGATATGTGAAAATTGCTCTATGATTGAAACTGGTTTGCGAAAACGAATTGGTGAAATCTATAGTGTATTGTTGCGCTAGTCTATTTTCAGTCGTCTCATTTCTCGTATTGTCAGGTTTGGTTTGGCCGTAGCGAGTGGTGTGAATCCATTACATATATGGTCATTAGACATAATTATATGCTCCTGATAATAAACCTCGTTCATACTGATGTACCAATAGGCCAATTCTGTCTGATTCGCTCGGCAGATCATATTTGAAAATAGTAGATTTATATAGTAACCATTTATATTTTTATAATGGAACCTGTTTTAATCATAAATGACAGTATAGACAATTAAGTTCGTGATTCGTCCGTCGTCCGTCGACATTATGTTCACCCAAACGTAAGTTATAAATCATTTACATCATTTATATTCACAGCATACGAAACACATGGTTTCAGTCGAATTACCGTGGGCGCGGTGTGGTCGTCCATTATTAGAGAGTAAACGCGAGCCAGCTTGAATATTAATGCGTATATAATTTGCATTCTATACATCGGTTCCGTTCTGTTTATAGGCCCCATAACCGCAACTAAATTGAAGTGTGTCTTCGATTCGTGGCCAGCCAGTGTTATTCAACGAATGTGCCATGGTGGCTTTCGCAATAGGAATTTGGTGGGTGTGACCTGTGGCATATTTATTGCATACTTATGCAGCATTATCCCGAAGGTAATATAGGTAATAATTAATTCCTCCCAATAATTGATACAACTATAAAAGCAAAATCACTTAAATCCGCTCATTCGTGTGAAGTGAAGTGCGAGCTTCGGTGTGCTTTCACGCAGGTCCGTGGTGCTTTTTTTAACGTTTCGTCACCTCGATTGTACATAACTGCAAAAGTCCATCTTTTTATCAAAATATTAATGATTTCGCCAAATATCTGACAACATAGTAGCCTAATGGGATTACGTATTTCACCAGCTTTTGCAGGGATGTATCATCACCAAATATGACCAACTGTTTCTTACAAGTGCTGCATGATCATCACATCGCAGACCATAATTCCCAGCTGCTCGTTGTTGTCAGTATACGCTTGGAGTAATGATTACTCTAAGCTATACGTGACATGGCGTTGAGTCAGACACGTGTGCTGGTTAAGGAATGCAAAGTCTATGAAATAATATCTCGTCATTTTAGAATTTCGATATTTTAATGTTCCTTTATGTGTTGAAAGAACGATGAGCGTATATGCAATTAGGTAACGTCTGAATCCCACCGTAGACACAAAAGAACGTGCAATGATTGATGCAATGATGCAAAATCCAAACGATTTTATGAATTTTATTTAGATGGTTCAGTCGAATAGATGTTAGAGAGTTTACGTCTTCTCAGGTTTGTTTGTCACCATGAAAATGACACACACGCGCGCGCGTACGCACGCACACACACACGCGCGCGTCTACGTTATGCACGCGATCGCCTGCGTGATTCAACCGACGTCAGTTGTTACCCGGAGTGTTGTTATCGGATCTATGAAATAATATCGTCATTTTTCAATTTCGATATTTGGCTTTGGTTGAATTTCGATTTGGCATCAAAAGATATATTTGGCGATATGTTTTCCTGTTAATTGGAGCGTATAGAGACGCAGCGAATGCAAATTTGCAGCAGTCGGGAGAAAATTTATCCGGAGTGTCGTGCGCATTTGTCGACTGTCGAACGTGATATTATGGGTCAGGGGCCCGTTGTCAGAAACAAAATTAGTCTTAACACTAACATTTTCTCGTAGACCGTCGACAGCGCTTTGTTTCCTATTGTTATGAGGAAATCTGCTACGATTTTCTATTCAGGCAACTTCGCTGCGTTTTTGTCGACGACGGTCTAAGAGAAAAAATTAATGTTAAGACTAATGTTAAGACTAATTTTGTTTCTGACAACGGGCCCCTGGCTTGTAACTTATGCCGATCAGTGATGACGTTGTTCTACCCCTAGTGCCACCCCCCACCACGATCCGTCTCCTGTCTACTGCCCCTTACCAGCTACTTGCGGTCATGAAGAAAAGAGTCGGCGCTAACCACACTACAATAATATTTTTTATGCAGTTGTTATGCAGGCTAACATCTCTAAACAATTATTTAGGCTGCACGACACAAGCCAAATGCTTTTCCTTCCCACTCACCCCCACAGAAGGCAACGCAAATGTATCGAGGTTCGTTACTTATTACAAATATTTTCATATTATTTATTGTAATTAAGATTACTTGTCTACTTTACATATACTAGTAACACTCGTGTGCTACTACACTATGAAACATTTGTTTCAGTCATAATACTGCCGTTGACTCTGTGCTAGAAATCACGCACACGCAAGCATGAACACATCTCATGGACATAACGGAATCGGTTAGTCGCGTTCAAACAGGTATATTATCTGTTCGCTGAGTCGACAACTAATACGCTTGTTAAGCAGTAGCGTTCTGTAGCAGTAGCAGTAGCAGTAGTCAAAGCAGTAGCAGGCTCGTTTCTGTACAGGCAACGTTAGATTGCCACCTCGATGCACGCAGTAGGAGAAGTTAAATTTACAAATAGCATAATATCACCAACAAAGACCACACGTTAATGAAAATCGCGGCAAGAGAGAACATACAAAAAGCATCACAAACTGCACTACAAGCGAAAGTTTAAGATTAATTTATTATATATACGCATGCGTTTACGCGTAGCGCGTGAAAGCTTACGGACACTTGGATTGGCCGTCGCTTCCTGTAAAGTCTAGCTGTCTTATCGACTCCTCGCTGCTTCTTCCTCTGTGGGACTATAGATTAGCACGAATCATACGCGCACACTCGCTCGCTTTCACAGTTTCACAGTACACGATAACGCTAGAGAAAATTATGTGGACAAGTTTATAATATATATATATATAGAGAGAGGAGAGAGAGAGAAGAGAAGATAGACGCCGAAGAGTCTTATTTTTACTGGGTATTTCACTCATCGCGTGAGGACTGTGTTTGATGAGGCTGTTAAACACAAACTGGTATAAGAAAGAGGGCCGTGAGATAAAAAGAATCGCAAACTAGGTACCACCGCAAACTAGGTACCAGATCGAAATTAATACAATAATTATTGAGCTTGTCACATATCTTCCCTGTTTATGTTAGTGTATTTGTAGTTAATAGAGTATAAGTAAACGACGTCTTGTTTACGACGTATGGCGCGAGAATTATGATGCACTTGGGCCTTCGGCGATTTGTTTAGCTTCCTTTCGTCACTATGCCTCAGACGTAGGGATACCGGGGTCATAGTTTTTCCCCAGTTTTATTGTCTTGGCAAATCGTTTAGTTATAGACGCAAACGCGCGACACCTGACGCCTACTTCACTCTCCTTATCGTTCTCTGCGCGTGAATGTCAATTGAGTTATCTGTAACCGCACTAGAATTCAAGCAGGTGTCCTCCTGCATGGTGCTGAAGGTTGCGCACAGACAGCAGTCACTATATTGGTGTTTTGGTATGCAGCACTCACTACTAACAACCGCGTAACACTGCGTTTCCATGGGCAAGTCGACACAGCAATGACTGGTGAGCACACTACACGCGCGAGCGTGCGCGCGCAGATCACACACAAACACACACACACAACACACACAACACACACACACACACACACACCGCCGCCCCTCACCGACACACACAAGACACACCACACACACACACACAGCACACACAACACACAACATCACACACACACCACACTACTCCACGCAGTTT